ACGGATCTCGTTCGTTCCTTTTTTTTCACAAATTTTTATAAAACTCCATAACTGTCCGTTCACGCACAACCGTTCACGAAAACTCTATCCCAAGTGTTCACGATTCGCGCGCATTTGAATTCCCGGCCGTGGGGGAGAAAGGAATAAAAAGAAAAAAAAAAAAAGAGAGAGAGAAGTTGAAAATCTGAACAACGCGAGGCTCAACGTGCCATGTATTCGAATAAATTTAAAAAAACGCGAGCGCGAATCTTTACCGTTCATAATCGTCGCAAAATATCTTTTTCATTATCCAAGCTGATCCGAAATAAAGATGAGATACGACGCGAAAAAAAAAAGAAGTCGCAATTTATCCGGGAAAAATGGCAAGATCGCGTTACTCGAATACTTTCATTCCTCGCTCTCTGTATTTTTATCGTGATTCCTATTAAGATCGCCGCGTACATTTTTCATTCTCGATGAATGATAAAAAAAAAAAAAAAAAAAAAAAGGAAAAAAAAAAAAAGGATCTTTGCTCGATCGAGGATAATTCGTTTGAACGCGAACGGGAAAATAGGAAATTTCGCTGTCATCGGCATTCATAGAGAAGGATAACGTACACCCCGGTGTGTCCCCGGATAGGCTACGCTATGAAAATTCATTTCACCCCGGCGTATTACCCCGATGCGGTATTTCGATCGGTTCTTCGAAATCCGCAACAATCATCCGGGAATTCACGATATATTTGTCGCTCGCATGAGCGGCCGTTCAATGGCCAATCAGGGTATTAGGCCGATTCAAAACGGGCGAGGATGCCGGATTTTCCGAGGGGAGGCAAATATCGGTCACTTTTAATATCGGCGTCTTTCGTTCCCGAGTTCCATCCTCTCTGTCGTCGAACCTGTTCCTCGCGCGGATCCCGACGCAATATTCGTCGAATAACTGGCGAAGAAAAGAAGAGAAGGCAAAGAGAAAGGGGAAAAGAGGGAGGCAGAATGAAAGCAAGAGAGAGAGAGAGAGAGAGAGAGAGAGAACGGGAAAGAGAAAAAGAAGAGAAACGAGTTTCCGCGGCGCTCGAACGGAATCAAACAGGTTGCAGAGTTTCACAATCGTCGTTATGATAATCACGCTCAAAGAACTGGCGATGGTGTTATTTTCGCCCGTGATACACAACCAACACACCGAGTTTCCGTACACGCGATATCGAGTTGCGCGACGTGTCGCTCGTAAAGAGCGGACAACCCCGATAACGGTCCTCGGGTCACGGGGAAAAAACAACTCAATGGTATAATGGTATAATATCGATTCTTCTTCGCAACCGCGGTAAATCTCTAGATCTCTGGTGATTCGGATGAAACGGCGCTGAATTATTCTCTCTCTCTCTCCTCCTCTTCTCGTTTCTATTCCCGTTTTCAAGTGAAATCGACAACTCGATTCCCTTTGATAGAGATTAAAAAAATTCGAAACGAAAGGTAGGAAAAAAATAAAGGTAGGAGAAATTCGCGAAAGTGTATTTCAACTTTCTCTCTCATAAAAAGCGGCTCGATATTATAAAATCGGCGAATTTCACGCACCGTTTGAACTAAGCTTCGTGAAAGGTCACGACGAAATTCGAAATCGTCACGCTCTTCCCTCCTCCCCCCCCCCTGTGAAAATCCCTCCTCTCGCGAAGAAGAATCCTTTATTTCCTTCCACGTTTCTCTCCTCCTATGGAAAATGTTCGTTGATCGAAAAGTTAAAGAAGAGCGATTTGTTTGGATTGGCGGGAGGTGGCCGAACGGCGGAAACACGAATCAAAATTTCTGACACGATGACTCGTTTCTCGGGAAACGACCGAGGGTAAAATCCCTTCGAGGGTAAAAGTTTTCGTTTCGGCCAGAAACCGGCCGGAAAGAGTTTCAAGAGCGCGAAACCGAAGTGGGCGAACTGTCACTTCCATACCGGTAGCGGACGAAGAACTTACCGAGAGACGAAACGAATTTCGAGTTTTCGCCATCCTTTTCCTCGAAAATTTCCCTCCCCTCGTACTCGTGCTTCGAACCGACTGACTTATCGAATTTCCATTTTTCCTTTGTCGGGACAACGACGACGGACCGCGATAGATAACGAAATCGATATACACAGTCGATGCCGGTAAACGCGGATCTAATAACAAGTGGGTGAGGAGGGGGGTTAGGGAGGGGGATAGTCGAAGGGAAAACAGTCCTGGTGAATTTAAATCGACGTAGTACAACGATATCGATTTCGTGCACGGTCGGAAAAGCCAGTGAATGATCGTGTCCCGAGCGTGACCAAAATTGAAATGATCTGCTTGTACAAACGATAAGCAAATCGAAGGGGCAAATAAACGGCAACTGAGTGACGTTAATTGGAAACGAGTTATCGGCTTTATTTCTTTTTTTTTTTTTTTTTTTTTTGCACCATTCCCGCGGGAACCTTCGCGAGTTGGAAATAATTTTTATGCCCGATTTTTACCAGCCCGTCGTGCTGATTTTTTTTTTTCGAAACGTTGATGGAACGATCGCGCGGCCTAAAGGAGGGGTAAAATTAAAAAATATTCCTCCCCCTCTCCCCCTCGTACAATCCCATTCTCTCCGTTTCTCTCCCTCTTCGCGATTATTGTTTTGGGAAACAACTTTTATAGATAACAGATAGTATCATAAATAAAATCTGATGGAAAATTCCACCATTTTCGAATTCTATTTTCGATTTAAACAATTTTTGACGGGTAGAAAAATCATCGAGTATTTTTCTTAAAAATAATAATGATGAAAAAATAAACGTCACCACTCGGATGAATTTTTATAACATTGGAGGAATAACATAATAATGGTGAAAATTGTAATTGATTGCGTCGACATATCGTAATATCGGATCTCGTCGTTTTTATCAATTAGAGATACGCTAATGGATCCCCAATGTTTTCTAAATAATTGTTTACGAAAACACGAATCACGTTAGAAATGATAGATATTGATAAACTATTGGTAATGTCGTTGATCTACCGAACTATCATCAATGCCGAACCATTTTGGTAAACTGTCAGGGACCGTGTTTCAACGTATTTCCAAATTTCATTGCTAACTGCTAATTCGAAAGTTGCCAATACAGCCTTCTACGCGCGATGCTTGTATCCAGAATCACCGGAAATGTAAATATACCGTGAAGCTAATACAAGCTGCTCCATCGAGCGTATTCAATGATCATGTTTCTGAAATAAACGTGGTTCCAATTTCCATTACTAGATCCAACTTGAAAACATATATCGCGTTACAGGATTGAAAAAAAAAAAAAAACGAACACGTTGAAAACACATAATATGTTTGTCGAAAAATATTAATTTTAACTCGAAATAGCGTAGTAATAGAAAAAAAAAAAAAAGAAGAAAAAAAGAGAAAATACCTTCGGGATACAAATGAAAACTCTCTCGAGAATGACAACAAATCTGAAAGATGAAAAAATATTTCTAAAAATATTTTTCTAACGAATATCGGTAAGATCCGTAATTGCTTTAAACTACAACGTTGGATGGAAACGAATAAAATCAGTCGACGCATAAAAATTTTTGCAATTTTTTGAATTTTTTCCCCCTTCTCTCCGAAATCAAACCGAAATCGAGTTTCGAAGAATGAAACGAAAAAATGAAGGAAAGGAAAACTCGGGTGCTCGTTATGAAATTCGGGCAATGCGGCGCTCTGAAAAGAGGGGGATTCGGATTCGACAAATGTACAGATTACGCAGATATTTCAATTAGAACAATTAGAATATCGCGTACAGCGACGAACGAAGGGAAAACGCAAGATGAACCAAGTGGAAAATCCGGAATATTCTTCTCGACGGAACGAATTAATTAAATCGGCCCTTTGAAACGTGAAGTGGAAATAAAAATTTCATATTTCGGTTGCAGAACAATCGAATCAAAGACCACGAAATTCAAACAAACGATCGGAACTCGGTTTCCGACCGAGATACCCTCGAAAATCGAATAATTTCCCAGGTCTCGCCATTTCGATTTGAAAAAAAGCACCTTCAATCGGTCTTTCTTCCGAATGACGGCTTGTTAATTTAAGGAGCGACCAACCAATCTCTCGAGAAGGGGGGCAAAAAAAAAGTGGGGCAAAAAAAAAGTGGAGCAAAACTGTGGCAATTACTCGTGGCGGCAGTTGTCCAAAAAGTTGTCCGGGACAATTAATGGGCGGCGTATTAATTAGGGATAGGGGAAAGAGGAGAGGGGAGAGAGGAGTGGTGGCTGAGGAGGGGGTAAAATCTCGCGGCAAGCGGCCGGTGTCGCGTCTTCCACCGCTCATTACTCCACGTCGAACGATGTTTCCGTAATCGGAACTTAGCTGGAACCGGTGGCTCGTGGCAAAACTGTATTGTTCGTTCGAGGCAAACCGTTTCCCATTAATTAATCGGGTGCGCCAGGTCCACGCAGTTGATTTGCATCCGATCCGCGAGCACGATACATCCGGATTGTCAGCGATCCATCGCTCTACCATTAATGTCTAAATACAATCGTCGGTTTCTCCCGTCGACGAACCATTGAATTCTAATCAACCGCGAAACGTGAAACGTGCCGTCACAAGTTACGATATTTCCAATGATATCGAGAGCCTCGTGGCCTCGTAATTTGGCCGGGCCGTGAACCCGGAAAACGGGTTTTATCTTTGCCGGAGTGTTCTCGAATCCCTGATGCGGAGGAGAGTGCGGGGAGATACGTTCAAAGGACCAAATATAGACGCTCGATAACGTGGGCACGGTTTTTGAAAACCGTTTTTATTTCCCCTATATCTATCGAAATAGAAAGAATATTTTTAACCGGCGAGTTGCGTGTATAACAGTCCGTATATATATTTCGAAACTTCTCCCTACACTCTATAAAAATACTACTACTAAAAAAAAAAAAAAAAAAAAAAAAAGAAGCGCGAGGGTGAAACAACAAAAGCTTCCAGTAACGCTACCAGTTTTCCCTGTCAAATCAACGCTCGCACGACCTTCACTAACGATAGCGCAATTGTTTCCAGGACCGGGGTAGGCGGAGCATGGAACGCAACGGAGGAAATCGTAACGCCGAACAACGATACAACTTACAACATCGAGAATTTGCAGCCGTTCACCGTCTACAGTTTTCGCGTGTCAGCGGTGAACGCCATGGGAAGGAGCAAGCCAAGCGAAGAGACCTTTCACTCCGTCACTCTTCGAGAATGTACGTTCTTCTTAATTCCTCCTATTTAAAGTTAAACTTCCATCTTACGTGTATATTAATCATATACGATATTTTTTTCCCCTCCTTACTTCGTCGTATAACCAATTCCTATAACTCGGAACCTCCTGAAACATGGAAAGGCGCATTAGCGGATAACACCAGAGGGGGGGGAACGATAATAGACATAAAATCCAAGGGAAGGTGTCCAAACGGAACGAGTCCCTCCGGGGCAATGCTAAAGCTCGCGAGAGTAAACGGCCCGAATATAACGAAGGGTAGAGCCGTAAAAGGAGGAGGAAAACGAAGAGCGAGAAGATGAAGGGGAGCGAGAAGAATGGTTTGCACGGCCGGTTTTCCGCGGCCAGGCACCAAGCGTCACGAGATTGACGCAGCCAACTAAGGAGGCGCTAATTGCAGCACCGGAAGGAACACAGTGTACAATCGCGCTTAACTCGAGCAGTCCGTCCACCTTTCCTCTCTCTCTCTCTCTCTCTCTCTCTCTCTCTCTCTCTCTCTCTCTCTCATCCCCCGTCCTCGTCGCAACCTGGAAAATAGGTTGAGCGGACGCGCGCGCGAGCTCAGCCCTATAAATTCTGTCAACGCCGCCGAGATTGGTCGACGCCTTGTGTATGTGTACCCACGACAAACTTTGCATTCGCGAAACTATGACGAGGAAGATTACGACGAAGACGAAGACGATGCTAACAAACGGGCCGCCGATGGTTAACGCGCGCCAACAGCCAGCCCCCGATACCCATGAATTCCCATGCGTATCGCAATGGCAATTAGCGCGTTACACGGTCCCAGTTGATGGAATTAGCTGCGAGAGATTCCCCCCCTCTCCCTCCGCTGTATATTCGATCTCGAAGCAACGGATTGTATTAGTTTGCTATACATGGAATTTCTTATCGCCTTCTTGTCGTTTCGGGGACAATTAGTAGGAAATTGGAACAGGGAGAGGGGGGGGGAGGGAAGGGGGGAACGCTGCTTCTGCTCTTCCGTTGGCGGAAACGTTGGAGGAGATGCGGTTTTAATATAGATAGAATTTCTTACGGTTTTGGCGTCCTTGTTTTTCCTCCTTGTCACTCGAACGGATACAATAATAGGGAGTAATGGTATGATCTTTTTTTCGTCTCCTCTGTCTCCTCTGGGGGAAACTTCGTTCGTTTTTCGGGCGAGTTCGCAAACTCGCGTTGATCCGATTAATTATAGTGATTAATACTGGGGGGTGGAACTAACGTCGGTGAAATTACCACCTGTGGCTAAAATTACGGGCACAAACGTTAAAGAGTTTGCTCGGTGTGCATTTGCTTTTAGAAAATTGATACGGATTTATCTGAATGAACACAGCTCGATCACATGATCGGCTAATATTTATACTGCTTTCGTTACAAACGTTCATCGCGTTCAATGCAAACGGATCTCTTTGTTTTTGAAAAACAAGATAAATACATATACGCGCGATCGCAAGTTTGCAAACTTGGTGGATTACCACCGCGAATATTATTTTCGTTTGATAAATTTATTGATACGAAAAATTAATTCAGTGTATCGTGGAAATAATCAGATTTATCAGAGGGGGTCAGAGGGGAGCGAAAAGAAAAATTCGCCCGATTTTCCTTCCTTCCTTCCTTCCTCCCCTCCCCCCGATATCGAAAATTACGAAATAATTAATATTGAACGAGATATCGATATATCGCGTTAATCATTAATATCCCATTTCATCGTTAACAAAACTAAACACACAGAATTAATTAAATCTGTAGCCAACGATTTTATAGAAAATTTAACGCGTGAAATTTAAGTAACATATGTATTCCGTGCAAATATCGAGTTACAATGAGTCATCGATTGATATATTGTATTACTCGATTAATTCGTTTGCCTCGCTATGGAATAATCCCGATAGGTTGAGGGATAAAAAAAAAAAAAAAAAAAAAAAAGATATGATTAAAACGTAAAATTGCCGATACTGGATGCAGTCGAAAGCAATTTATTATCGCGGTATCAATTGGACGAAATACAGAGTGGTCGAAAAGAAGGGGGGGAAAAAATATACGATATTTCCCAAAATTCTCGCATCGGCGAATTTTCTACAATTCCGCGCAAAATTATCTCCGCTTACGTTAACATTTGGGCTTATCATGGTAAACCAAAATAAATATATTTTTGAAGAAACGTTTCCTCGTGTTATCCTCTTATTCCTCTTTACATATTTCTTCGTAACGTTGATACGGTTTTTCCCAAAATTTTGGACATGCTACCGTAACCGGATATCTGATATACGAACTTGCATAAAACAAACCAGAACAGCGGAATATAATAGTAAAACACATTTTCGAGACGGAGAACGTAATGGTGGAGAAAACGCGAAATGAGTTTATTAAAGCTTATCGAGAGACGAAACGACAAACGGCTAGTACCGTTTTACGTTTTATTTTCATTTTCTAATTGATTTAAGATCGTTGCGCGGAATATTTTAACATTACATCATTATACGTATAGAATTCACACGCGTACATTCGCGCAAATGGCTTTTCTATTCCAATGACGCGAAATATCGACACCGTTTCCGTTTTTCGCGTGTTGTTTCGAATTACCGCGTGATACGCGACATATCCACGTTAGAACGTCAATAAACCGGTATTGGTAATAAGCTCGTTGTTCAAATAGCGTAATTAACGAAGCGATAACCGCACGTTTAATAAACCGGCTTACCGAAACAGATTAACAACGGGGACTATTTCTGCATTACGTATTAATCTTTCCGCGCTGTGAAAACGTGTTTTCAGTTCTGGATCAATTACCGTGTATTACAAACAACGGTGATTAATTGAATCACGTTAAAAAAAAAAANAGAAGAAAAAGAAAAAGGAAGGGGGGGGAAAAAAGTGATTCCAAGCTATGATGCGATAAAAACTAGATCCTTAACTGAAATACGCAATACCCGCGAGATTCTTTTAAAAAAGTTTTCCGATAAACAACTCACGGCGAATGAATCTCGCGACGAAAGCAAATCCGCGCGCGTTAAAACCGATCGTCGATCGGCCGCTCGAAATCAATTAAAATCAGGCCGCGAAACGAGCATCGAGAGGGGGGTGAAAAAAAAAGGAGAAAAAAAAAAAAAAAAAAAAAAAAAGAAAAAAAGAATCGCGATGTGGCAAACGTTTGTCGGTGTGGCAAATACGGGGCAAAAATGGTAGACATCGATTTGGAAATCTAGCAACGGTATGTTTTCGATGCTCCGTCGAGTCGAATCGAAACACGGAAATCCCGTCGATCGGTTGCCTCCAACTTAATAAAGAAATCGGTCGTGTTGTACAAATGTACAAATTTGCGCGCATGCGTGCGCGCGCGTGCGGAGTCAGAAAGATAGATCGATTATGATGGCGGGTGAGGTAGGAATAATTATCGGGTTGACAAGATCGGGCCGCATAGGCGATCGCGTGGATTCGCGCGTCGATAACCGATTTAAATACCGGGGGATCGTGGATCGTTGTCGATACGAATGCATGCGCGGGCGAACGCCGAGAGATGAGGACTGAAAAAAAAAAAAAAAAAAAAAAAGAACTAACAGAAACGTTACGAGTTGTTAAACCGAACGCGATTATATTCGTTTCACGATATTGCACGGCTCCGGATCCGTTTTGTTTTTCTCTATGCTTTTCCCTTGCCGCCGTTTCCCGATATTGCGATCGGAAGCGAAGTTTAAACGCCGTTTTCACAGGAATCGTCGCAACGATAACGTCCCGCGATCGAGCAAAACATTGACACGGTGAAAATTCTAACTTTAAAAAAAAAAAAAAAAGAGAGAGAGAGGGTGAAGGGGAGGTGAAAAAAGAACCTTGGCGAATTTTTTTTCACCGCGAACGAAAACGCAACGGGAAATCGATCGAATTGTTCTTTTTCTCCTCCTTCGTCGCGTCGCGAATAATTAATACGAGAAAAGTCAATTTCGTTCGGTGTCTATTACGAGGAGATCTCTTGGAAAGCGAAGCGATCGTATCGATCGCGAAGGGGAACGTGATTCTTTTCGACGATAATACACGATACGCGAGATTGGAATCGAAATGCCCCGAATGTATTCGAAACAAGTCCGCCCGGATTAAAATTCAAGCTCCTTCCTCGATTCGTACCCGATGCCCGATCAAACAGTGAGCAGATATGAGTAATTCAAGAACGTAATTCGATTGGTCGTTTCGTGTGCTCGAATCACGACCGACTGATGTGACATTCTATCTGAAGATCGATGAAGTCTTTCCGGATCCGGAGTGAGCACCCGTTTGAAACAGGATGACAAACCTTTGCTCGATAGTGAGCGACGAGTAATACGTCAACCGTGACAGGATGCTTTCCTCGCGACGAGACGAATGAATTTTTCAAAATCGCCCGATCCAAGGAAAAATCTCTAACGCTCCGTCCGTGGGAAAGTAACCATCGTTGGATCAAATTCCAAATATAAATTTTTAATAAATAAAATACAAATAGAACGCGTCAAAACGTGCGAAATCTAAAATTCGAGCGCGTAAAATCGAATTTTCAAGTATAACTTCTACGAGACGATATCATGCGTGGAAATATGGGATACGTGTAACGAGAAGAAGGGACGTTAATTTCGTAAAACCGTGAAATTCCGTGAAACGTCGAATATCGAATGATCGATGGAGGATTAACCGAATAACGTCGAGGTTGCCTTTTACTTTGGCAAACACAGATAAATGAACGGTTGAACGTCGATACACGGACGAACGCATAAATGAAACATGTAGGTTAGATGGCAATGATTGCGCTGCAATAACGAGATAATAACAGTTATCGGGATAATAAACAGGCAATTAATAGAAGGCCGTGTATTTAATACCGTCAATACGAGACGCGTGTGCGTCGACCAACATAAAAGCTAATAAATAGAGAGATCGAGGGATATGATAGAATACGAGTCAGTTCGATGGAAACAACGTCGATATTATCGCCGTCGAGGCCCAGAATCCCGTTAACGTTGTCGCGAGATTTGTTATTCAATCTCATCTTTCTTAAAAACTACGCGAACAACTCTATTTATGTTTATGCGTTTCTTTTTCATTCTCCTTTTTTTTTTTATTTTTTTTTTTTTTNTTTTTTTTTTTTTTCTTAATAAAATTTCTACTAGTTTACCGAAGTGTTTCTTTGATCTTCGCCTCCGAGAGATTGAAGGGAAGAACTCCTCCAATCTCTTCGCGCAAATAGATACACCTTCAGAGAATAATTAATTTCGCAGCCGGTAAACGTTCCACCCCTTTGCAGTCGTTAATGAGATGCTACGAAACTTTTCCTTTTTTCCCCTCTTTATCTCTCTCTCCCTCTCTCTTTTTCTCTCTTCCCGTCCCCCGTCCGTTTAACTTGGCGCACAACTACCCTTAAGCGGCACGCGGAGCGTCCTATTCTCGATCCTCCGGCGATAAATATTCGAATTAGGTGTTCTCTCTCTACCTAAAGACACTTTTCAGAAAATAGCCCGCCTTGTTGTAACATTGACCCATATTCGAAGGCGGAGGAAAAATTGTTTCGCCCCTCTTCCAATTTCTTCCACTTCTCTCGAATATATTCTCCTTCGATCACGGGCACGATCGTTGCAACAACCGGGATGAAAACAAATGAAATTGACGATGGTTGCACGATTAACCGATAATACGTCAACATCGCGTTCGTTAGCGCAATTTATCGCCAGCATATTCTAATTCGCGATACTAATTGTTCGGTACATAAACATACGTACGCGTAGATGTGCAAAGGATAGGTGTGACGAGGGAGAGCGCGATGCCCACGTCGGTGTACAGGAATCCACGGGTTGGCTTAAATGAAACGCTGCCCTTTCTCCCTCTCTCTGCCCACCACCACCATCTACCTCCCCACTCTCTCTCTCTCTCTCTCTCTCTCTGTCTCACCCAGATCAATAGGGTGAGACTCACCAACGAAACTTCTCCTACCGCTTTAGCCCCGGACCAATACGTACACCGACTGTCCTCGTTCCCTCCGAAGGTCGTTGCCGCCTGTCCCCCCATAAATATATCGCGTAACAGAGCCACCAATTAGCCATCGGGACAGCCGTGTCGGCGTATATACACGTCCACACAGGGAGTTCTAAGTTTCGTGAGTAGGGGAGGGAGAGGGGTGTCGAGTCCGCGCGAAAATTGGAAAATTCGTGGCGCGGTCGCAGCACGGCGGTAATTTCGGCAACATCCTCGGCCCGCGAGCCAGTAATCAACCTGAGTTATGAACTTGAACGCCGAGACCGCGCCACCGGAAGAGTGGTGGATCGTCTCGCTTTTATTTCCCTTCGGAGCTGATAAGAAGGGATTCGTGGAAATTCTTATCCGTACTTACTTTTCCTCCTTCTCCTCCTCCTGTCTCCAAGTTCCACGTCTTCTTCGTCGGTTACTTTTTTTCTTTTTTTTTTTTTTTTTTTTTTTCGTTTTATGTCGCGCACCAGGATGTGGAAACTGTAATTCGCCAAGTGGCGGCGGCGTTTTTATTGCGCGAGTATCGCGGCAACTCCGTCTATTTAGCTTATAGAACCGCTACACTTTACCTAGCGCGCCGCACTTTATTATCGCACGGGATATTGAATTAGTTTTTCTTTTTTCTGTGGGATTCGAAGAGAAAACGAAAGAGGGCTTCGAACGAAAATTTCGGAGGGATATTTGAAAAAAAAGAAGAAAAAAAAAGAGAGAAAAAGAAAAGAGATCGACGACGTCGCGTGGCTTTTAAAACGTGGAGGGAAGCATAGCCGTCGTAAACGTAGCCCTGGCACAGGATCGTAATAATTTAACGCAGATTTTGCGACGGTAAAAAAAAAGAAAAGAAAAAAAAAAGAACGCGTCGCTCGCATTTATTACGAAAGCTGAATTATCCCGGCGAAGTGGCCGGCCCGGAATCGCATGAAAGACTTATCGCGCTCACCGTATACCACGTAATACCTGACCCACTACAATGTCTTCAGCTAAGCATTAATAATTCTGGTTGTTTCGTTAATTGACTGCCACCGCAACGGTGGTGGCCGAGGGAAACAGCGGTTTTGCTTGAATTGAAATAAAACGTGACTGGAATAAGAACGAATGCCCCGAAGCTAGTAAACTCGAAAAAATACAATCATGATGTATAAACTAATTTGCAGATATTAAAAGAGCTTTCTCGTATTCGCGATAAATTTTTTTCTGAAATATAACCTGTAAAATATGTTGAATTTTATTTTTCTTCTCGAGAAATATTGTTCAACGTAATTTGAATCATCCGTCTGAATATTGTAGTCTGTTTCGAAGTATATGTTAATTTAAACGACAAGAATAACAAAAGATAAGAAATCCTGATGAAAAGTAACGTGGATGAAAATTAACTACCACGTAATAATTAGTGAAATGGAACTTATCGTCCAATTTATGAATAATTGTGAGAAAAAGGATTATCGAAAATGAAAACGGACAGCCAGTTTTAAATGGAAAAATTATTCGATCGTTCTACACGTATTTCGCGTGTAAATAAAAAATACGATGATCGCGATTTTAAATAATTTTGCTAACCGTCCAACTCGAACAAAATAATCGAGAATTTATTAATAAGGCAATATAGATAATTGATTCACCGAAGAAAACCGTGCTCTGAACTGATCATTTTTATATTCGAAACTCTTCGAAAAACCTTCGACAAATATTTTTTTTACCTTATCATCCTCTTGTTTGTAAGTAACATTTGGTAATAAAAGAATAATCATTTTGATACACACTTTTCTTTATACCCGCTCCCCAAATATCTCTCAATTCCCTATTGTTCCTAATTCGTCCAGTTAATCTAACCCCCAATATCTCGCGATTTTCCCGACCGACACGAATTTCCCTGAACCCGCGAAACAATAACAAGCATTCGTCCGAGCAATTTCTCCGTAAACCAGCCGACTAATCGTTGTCACCGGCAATTATTCACCGAAACGTCCGTTCGAAGTTTCGACCGGGATGCATTAATTAATCCGTCGACTTTCACCCGCTCGTTCACCCGCGGACGCTTTATTTTCGCGGCCCGGTTATCGTCGCCTTCGCGGCCAACATTTCTAACACGGACGCTAACGAGTCGGCGGAAGTTTGGTACCCACCCCCTGTCATCGAGCGACGCGTGACGCGCATTAAACGTCTTCAAATTATTTCCAAGGCAATCCCTCGTTCCACCAGAAGTAAACACGGAACGGAACTTCGACAACTTTCCATCCGCGAATATTGGCGCGCGATAACGCCAACAAGTTTCGTCAACGATACGGACGCCGCTTAAGTTATGTTGGACCGTTTTGAAAGGGCCGAGGGTACCGTGATCTCGGTTGCCTGAGATAAGAGGAAAGTGGGAATTAATAACGGACACAGGTTTCCCGACACGATTTAAAAAGGCAACGCGAGTTGCTCAATGCAACGCGATTATACCTACATTACGTAACTCGTGTTGGCTTTTTAGGAAAAACGTTGTTGGAATTATAAGAGTATAAAAACAGACGTATGAACGTTACGCCCGTTACGTCCTTTTTTTTTTTTTTTTTTTCCTTTCTTTGTTTCTTTTCGACCTTGGAATTTCGTTGTATATTCCGTTACTGCGAGAAACTGGTGGCTAGAAGTTTCGTTGTTACAATGCAACTTAGTATTCGGTGGAGCAACGTCGGCGCCAAGAGCAAAGTAATGAAATAACATGTGCTTATGAAATGTCCTGGTAGTGGAAATGCACGGGATACGATGAAGAGAATTTTAAGAAGGATATATTAAACCCGGAAGTGAGATATAGCTCGGAAAAAAAGAAAGAAAGAGAGAAAGAAAATTGCGATAGCAATGAAAATTTCTATTCCATTTCATTGGGAAGATTCCGCGACTACGTTGGCCGATAAATTGTTCGAGACGTTTGTGACAAATAGAGGAGTCGAGATGAAATAAGCTCGTTCGGATCGTATTTCTTCGCTGGGGTAATTGCTATTATTTTTTGAACGGAACGATGGTACCGTTTTGATCAGCCAGCAAAATTTGATTATGCGAAAAGTATTAAATTACACGCGCACGAATTTTAAACGAGTCGAAAGCTATCAATTGTTGAAAATATTACGACAGGGAAGGGTCCATTGAAATACGTGTACCTGGATCACAAACGTGAGGGGATGGAGGGAAAGAGAAATAATGGGAAATACGATTAAGCGTGCTTGTTCGAATTTTATTCGCGACGACGGCCAAAGGTAGAAAATAAATACGATCGATCCGATATTTATTGCGAGCTGATCATCAAACAATCATTGCAAATACGTTTTTATCCGATGCCACTCGTGTTGATCCGCCTGTTTCGATGTTTCCCGCCCCTTTATCATATGTCTTCAACTAGTACATTCGATACATCGATTTTTTCTCATTATAATTCATTTATTGATGATATTTCGATTATTCTTCAATTTTTTTCTTTTTTTCTTTTTTTTTACTAAGTCAAAAATGAAAACAAATAAACGAGTAAAAGAAATTGGCATAGAAAAATTAAAAATTTTAAATTATTTTGATTATTGGAACGTTCGAAAAAATTATTAATTACAAAACTAAATTAGAAATTCAGAAAAAAAAACTCGTTTTCTTTCTTTCTCTTTTTTTTTTTAAGAAGATTAATCGAGAAAATTTACGAAAATACCTATTAATGGAAATTTTTGTTGAAGTGTTTTTACAATACTCGATAAAATATTTTGCGAGCATAAAAGTATCTATATATTTATGCAAAAATATGATAATGCACATGTTTCATTTTCTCATTTTAGTGCCATCAGGAAAACCTATAATTACCAGCGCTCATAATACATCTGCCACATCTATATATTTGGCGTGGAAAGCGCCCAGCCCTGACACAATTCATGGCGAATTCCTTGGGTATCGAATCGGGTATAAACCTCGAGACAAACCCTATATGGAAGAAAAAGAAGTATATATACGCAATCCAGCCATTGACGTAAGTTGAATAAATATTTGTTCGAATATCTTTTATTATCCGTGTTGCATTTGATTTTATATCGATATTTTGCGTTTAATAAATTTTCGCACGTTTCATTGCAGAATCATACAATCCGCAATCTGCAGACGTACACCCAATACCTGGTGTCATTACAGGTTTTCAACCCGGAAGGACATGGTCCTGCAACCACCATCTCTGTAATGACCGACGAAGGAGGTGAGATTAAAATTTCTTTATTTTTTATGATTAAATATTTAATAAAAAGGAAAGAAATTTAATTGATGTTCGTCTATGTTCAAAACTTGGCGCTTTAAAATTGAAGCTATCGATAAAACAGAACGTTTTAGAAACTTCTATGTAGCTTCGGTCGATAAGCAGAACTTTGCGGATGCATACTTTAACAGAATTCAGAAAGGACGATTTCTGTAATAACGCGTTCTTATCATAAATAAAGAAGAGAAAAAATGGGATATTTTATAAAATTTTATATCATATATTTTGAAATATTAATTTCAAAATATAAATAAAAAATAAAAAATAAAAAAATAAATCTGTCTAAATAAATAGTACTTATTTAAATAGAAATAAACTCTACAAAAAACATTGATTTTTAGCAATATTTTCCTAATATAATTTCATAAATATCCTAAAAGTATATTTAATCTAAGAGCAGATCTATCTAACCATAAATTTAATTTAAAAATATGCTACCTAATTATAAATATAATTTAATCTGCCTATTAAAAATCCAATATTTTTTATGAAATCTGTTTACATAAATATCTGGATATAATAAGAAAGGATATAATAAAAAAGGAAAAAGAGATACAGCTTAATATAAAATACATTTCCAAAACATTCAATATCTTCTATATAACATCATATAATTTTATTTTTCTAAAAGATTTTGAAAACATTACATAAAATTTTAAATATTTTAGAAACTCTGTCTATTAAACGTATAAGACTTTCTTTTTATAGCTCTATATATATAATATTTAAGATATTTGATTTACTACTAAATATTTCACACACACACCAGTAAACCTATAATAAATTCATCTATTAAATTAGATAAATAAAACATTTTTATTTAAAAAGAAAATATATAATCAAATTCACAAAACATTGTTAAATTATTTATATCTTTCATTTTTTTCAATCACAATTAGATAAATTTAAAATAATATAAATTTAAATTTAAATTTAAATTTAGAAATTTGAATTAGAAAATTTAGATTTGAATCTGATTTGAATTGATTATTTCATTATATTTACAATAATTTAAAAAAAATAATATAATAAATGAAAGATATCCATATGTAACAAATAAATACATTTTTTAATACTATTTTTAGTATTATTTTCAGTAACAAATATTCTATTTTTACAAGAGAAGGTTAAAAAAAGGGAAATAATCAAAAAGACTACGAAAATATAATAATAAATCCATTAATGTGAACTTGAACAAAGCGTAAGTGGAATTTCATTGTTTCGCAATATTAAATATATTAAATTTTCAAAAGAAACCGCGAAGAGTGCTTCATTTTATATGCAATACAAATTAATTTACAAATAGTAAAAAAAAAAGAAAAGAAAAATTCGCGAAACAATTATTTATAATAAAGTAACATTAATAAATATTACTTTATGCACTCAAATTTCAATACGCAACACTAATAACGAGATATTTAATACAGTTTCCTTAATAACTGATATAATCCCTCATGTTTTAACTACAGGAATAGAAATTTGCACAATTCTAAAAGCATGGGCATTCAATATTCGCAATATTAAAATAAACGCGATTATTTTTCAACGCAACACTAATACAAAATCGCGATGCCCATGATGATTGGATGATGATAGGCCAGCATGCAAATTGGCCGAATAATACAACAATAATAACTATATATTACTAAAACGAGCACAGTGACAAAATAGTAATAATGACTTCCCATTCTTTGGCGCTAAACAAGATCCAAAAAATGAGAAGCCATTCGTTGCAGCCCTCTTCGTGACAGTTTGTCGGGCCTCTTCGGTCTTCCTCCTTCGGGCGCGATGCCCGCTGAAACTTAAAACTAGGCTCGAGATTTCCTAATCGTGAACAAAGAAAATAAGAAATAAAAAAAAAAAAGACTACATCACGAAAGATGAATACACATGGACGACCAATGATCGCAATGATCGTTGTCCGTTCATACGCAGAATCTCGAGCGCAACGTTCGTTTCGAAACCCGTTTCGCGACCGCGACCGCGGAATTCGAAAAATCGATGAGCCAGAGACGAATAGCATAGTCCATTCATCCATTCTCTTTACCCTCGATTTTTCAAATGTTATCTCCTGAAACAGGTTGTCACGCGAAAACACGCCTACCCGATAAGAGACTGTGACAACCTGCCCGGCCCTACCTACTTATAATTAACACTCATACCAGAAAACATGCTACCTATCCTACCTAAACCTATATTTAAAAAATATAGCAAACCAGACATACCAACACATTCATTCCACGATTCTCACGCATAATACTCGGGCGCAAAAAGCCTACACTAGGGAAAACGTCCCGGGACGCCTCCGACACCCGAGCTTGGCACACTACTTTCACACTCTAACTTTACGTACCTTTTTCCTGAAATCGACTGACGATGATTAATGATCATTGCGTGTAAAATCGCGATAAAAGATTATAATTCAATTTTAATTATCAACATTAATGATAAAAAGAATGGAGTACATACAGAAGTAATACATGTATCTTTATATATGCATTATATATATATAAAAAAAAAAATAAAATTCTTGAGATAAATGATAACATTATTCAATTTTATAAAAATAATAATAATAAAAATAAGAATAGTATTTATAATTCGTAGTCATATAATATTTTTATTGTATATTTTTATTGTAAATTGTGTGAATGAACGTATAATCGAAACGACGCAATTCCACAACCTAACCACACATACACACACACAATGTGAAAAATACGTCGTGCACGATACATTAATGCAATCGTCAGTCGCTGAAAACTTGTTATAAACTTATAAACTATGATCATCATGCCCATTGCCTCTCTCTCATTCAAATAGCACCTGAGCATGTGAATGAGATCCTGGAAATGGACATGGAAAGGATTAAATCTGAAAATCCTAGCTAAAATAAGTATTAATATTATTTTCTAACGGGCTAAATTTTTTTATTTTATTTTATTTCGACTTTAGTAAATTTATTTCATGATTAATTCTAATATTGAAAAAGGAGAATATATATATGTGCTATAAATGAGAAATTTATTTATAAGAATTAATAAAAAACTTATTTTTGACAATCAATAATTAAAAATAATTGATGAAATGTTAATAACCTCAGGTGATTTCTTCATCAAAGTAAATTTTCAAAATGTTCAAAACATATTACTTTGATTCCGAAATCTGCCTGTCGCGAAATATCTTCTTGTATATAAAATTTCATACATTTTTATATGGAAAAAATAATATATTTTTATCTGTATTTCAAATTATATTTAAATACATAATAAAAAATTAAATAAATGAATTATTCCATATATTAAAAAATTATTTTGATTATTATATAATAATTAAAATTTTTTAGTAACGAAATCGGAGGATCCATCCGATTTCTTCACTATATTTAACTAATATTTAATTAATATTTATTTTTTATTCATAAATGTATATTCATTTGACTTTATAAATATTCATATGTTAAATATAATTAAGTATAGTTTGATTTTACAAATTATTATAGTAAATACACATTCAAATTAATTATTAATATCATTCAGATTAATATTATTTTAATAGAAAATTAATTATCAATATTATTTTTTTAACAATTCGATATACAAGAAGACCTATCCTAATCTAATAAATAAAACACATAAAATAGATATATTACTATTCACGAGTATAAATAATACCCGCGGTCACTGTGCTCGTACAAAAATCTAAATATACAACCAGGCACCCGTGTCGATTCGGACTTTTCATCCTACGACATGATTGAGTGACCAGAGGAACAAAAATGCATGCGACTCACCAATAGATGCGAAGAATCTACATTGGCATCAATATGGGTTATGAAAAATCATCATAAAAGCTAAAAAATATCTGTAACAAAATGTGGAATATGATTTATAAATATAAGTATAAAGATTGAAATTCTAATATAATATAATGATAATAAAAATTAAAATCTTGAAATAAAAATAAAAATTTAAAAAATGGAAAGAATTTCATAATAATTTTATAATTTCCAATTTTTCAATACAAGAATAAAAATTTAAATAGAAAGAAAGATAATTACCTCTTTGCGGTCTAATAAATGATTGTTGAATTTTTTTCATGCACTGACTCTAATATATACCGAAAACGAATATTAAAAAAAAAAAAAAAAAAAGAAAAATAAAAGAAGCATATTGAAGCACTTATTTTAATTGCAATTAGCGAAAAAGCACTGACTCTAATTTATTGTAATTAAATTTACTTAAAGTTATTATACTCTAAAAAACATTAAAAACTATTATAAACATTTTATTCTACTGACCGCATTGCACGCGATCACAAATTCTGTGAAAATAAAATTGTGTTAGTGCAAAGAATGGAATAGAAGAAAAAAAGAAAATTTAAAATAATATTTTTCTTTTTCTATTGAAAAAGTACTTACAAACAATGTTTTTATTGTTCTGAAATTTCAAATTGATTGTTAATTTTTTAAATATAAGATATCATATATAAAAAAAATTAAATATATATATACACACACACACACACACACACATTACATATATTATATATATATTTAAATAAATAGTATATTATGAATTATTATTATAGTAATCATTAATATTCCAATAAAGAAATAATAAATATAATGAAATATAATGAATATATTATGCATATAATGAATTGTTAAACTTTACCACGTTTCCATAAAAAGGCATATTGGCATCCATGTTGCATCTTTTTCTTCGAAATTAACTTATATCAGCAATCGATTAATAACCTACACAAAAAAAATCAAAATCTTTGAATAAACATATATAATGTACAAAATTAATCGATTATATTAAAATAAAACAATAATTAAATATAAATTCCATCTTAGAAAAGCATAATATAAAATATTTGCAATACTAACCTATAATTTTAAGAAATAGATGAATAGAATGAATAGGAAAAAAAAGAAT